TCACCGCCCAGCTCGATGTACAAATGGTGATATCCTACCTTGATAAATTGGTCAACGGGAAACACTCGGCGGTCGCAGTCCTGAATGAGAACGTTGACGTCGAGGTGCTGAACGAGTTGGGCAACTTCATCAGGCGTAACAGGGCAGCGACGCTCCCATATCCTTGATGGATCTTCTCGTCGTATGCCCACTGTGACTTTTGCATGTTCAGGCGATACCGTAGCAAGTGTCCTGCGAGCTGGTAGAGAGTAAGTACGCTTGGCAAGTGGCCTGGGCAGATACTGTGGCGAGCGTCGGAGGCTCGCGATGGTCATGGCGTCAGTGAGTGAGATGGAACACTGTGCTCGATGAGGAAGAGAAATGAGAAAACAACGATGGAGATAAGGAAACGCAGATATACAGTGAGTTAGTGCAGGGTTTCTAAGATCCGCCCGTGCAGAGCCGAGTAGGCGTCTCGGATTCCGATCGTAATTGAGGGACGTTTAACCCAATAATCCTGCAGCCATTGATGATCGGAAAACTCGTCAACCTCAGGGAACCCCGTTGCCATCGTAGAATATACCATGCTCATACCAGGCCACAGTAGCGCGACTCGAATTTTGTCTCCATGCCAGGTACAACGGTATGCACACCACTGCATTATGACAGCTCGGTTTGTCAAAAGGGACCTCGTGTTGAAATGACAAGCGCACAAGTCTATAGACGCCCAAGTTTCACACCCGAACAGACCCGGTACTGGGTGCCCGAATTACCGGGTAATTATACTGTCACCGACCCCACAGCAATATCAATGATGTGCCAGCATTTTACGAAATATGACCTCGCAACATATCTATGTAATCCAACAACAAGACGGTGTGTCTCTCGGATTTCCAGGGCAAGTCCTCAATTTCAGCGACACACTAATGTTCAAAAACTTTCAGTCTATACTCGATCGTGATTGCAGCCTGAGGTCAATTTGGAGAACCAGTTCACTCGGGCTATCAATATCTTGAAGGTGGCGTAATGACAAATGGTCTCCTTGGAACAGGTGTGAGATTTTTGAAAGGATCTATGCAGCTACGTCCATCACATGTGCAGCTAATAAAAGCCATATCTTTAGAATATGCAATTTTGACGCGATCCTCTGGACCCTGGAGTTATCTGTCGCCCTGCTGCGATAGCAAAAATGCACTAAAAGCCTGAGGCTGTCCAAGGCGATAGCATACTTGCGAGTAAGAAATCAGATCAACTGGCTCGTTCCGTGCAGCAGGTGAGATGAAACGGACCTATAGTATTTCTACGGTACCGATATCCATGTGTTGATTGGAAGCTATATTTTTGACTTGTGCAATCATCTCATGGTCCGATGATCCTCTTCTATTCTCTAACACACTGCTGCGCTAGCAAAAATGAACCAAAATGATGTCCAAGGCAAACAATAGGCCTTAACGTTCAACCCTCAGCTCATTGCGCGGCGCCGCCAAGAACGCACACCCCAGATACCTAGTGGACATACTATCTTCGCAATGGTCCACTTTTTTGTGCGTGGCACTCGAACGGACAGTCACATTAGCAGTTCGCTCTGCACACGAACTTCAACAGCAATTGGTTAGGATGCTACTCGTAAATCCATGAGTATGTACGAAGAAATATATAGAGCTACATGTAAATCGTTAACGAGGGTGAGAATGAGCGAGCAAACGAGAGTATTGTGATAAACGAGCGAGTGGATTGTACGGTGCAGTGAGGAGAATGACAACGTGAAGAAGAAACGGGCTCTGGACGTGTGGTGCTGGTTCCTTCCGAGCCCTTGAAAACCGGCATAGTAGCGCGAATGACCATCTACTTCAAATTCAGCATTGCGCGAAGCTGCCCTTCTCTCGCTGAGTTCACGACTTCGAACGAGTACTGGAAAGGCTGCGGGTGACTTTGGATGAAGTAAAGTTAGCTGTATCTCGCGCGTACATCGAAACCACTTACATTATCATGCCGGTGGTGATTTCCGGCTTTACCTCAATCCTGTTTCCGTTCGAGTCTTTAGCATGATCGATACGCAAGACGGCGAGGATGGTAGCCATTGCATTCCACATACTGTTCTCTACAAACCAACGACCTACCAAGGGCATAAGCATGTCATCGCTAACATCGATGAATCATTAGTTATCTTACCAGGACAAATGCGCCTGCTCGAGTCGGTGAACAGCTGAAAGTGATACTAATTGCGAAATATTCACCTGCCATGACCAAAGGCAAAATGGTTGACAAAATGATCCTTCAGCTGCCCATCCGCTGTGAGATGGCGAGTGGGATCGAAGCGTGATGCATCAGGAAATATGTCTTCGTCCCGAGACAATGCCCTAAGTCATTCTCAACTCAAGCATTTAGACACGCTGCATTGTACAGACCATTGATTAACCATCACCACCGTGCCTAATTGAACTACAGATAAGTCAATGAAACCCTGAATCATATGACGAACCTTTGGGTATAAAGTACCCGCCGTAAAAGTCATCTTTTGTTGTCGCATGCGCCATTCCTGTGCAAGGAGTCAGCTACAGAATTGCGTAGGCACCAAGGCACACAATTCGACCTACCTAGGGGTATGGGAGGACACCATCTTAGAACCTCACGGAGAACGGCATCAAGGTAGGGTAACGATGGCCTATCATCAATGGACGGCATTTTATCATGCATCACAACTTGATTTATTTCTGCACGAACCCTGGCTTGGACATCGGGATAGAGTATCATGGCCATCAGGAATATCTGTAGTGCGGATGTAGACTGCGGGACATCAAGGTAAGGAAGAAGCGATAAGGATTCTCTAAGCCAATGGCTCACCGTGTCTATGCCACCTATAATACCGTATCTGCATCAAAAAATGAATCTTGTATTTTTGAAAAATCTTTACCTATGTATCCCATCAATGCAACAGCTTTCATTGTATCTTCATCAACATTGTTGCCAGCTTGACTGAGGAAGTCGGTAACTAGTGATTTCGAAGCGGTACCATTTGCCTACAGGCAAATAGATCATGCAAATCGTCCAGCCACAATGCGCAAACGTACCATCTGTGCCTTCACCTCGTCAAAGGGCTCATTTAAAAGCTGTGGACATAATTCTCTAGTGCGTCCCATCAGGGCATAAGCTCCACGAAAGCACCAAACTGGCAGCTTTTTAACTGTAACCGACGCGCCAAATGTTCAAATAGACTTCGTCGATAGCATTGAAGCACTTACGGAAAGGAAAGGCTGTGAACATAGCAGCTCTCTCTGGAGAAAGAAGATGTTTGGCGATATCCAGAAGTTCTCGCGCACGAGAAAGGAATGGGTCTTGGGTTCCACGACTAGTGTACCCATATGTCACGGACATGATCAACGATGCCGTGTATCTGACAATTGTGTAATTGTCAGCTGGATCGGAGGTTACAACGTCACTGAATCAGGCACAAACGCTTGAGTAGGTTCCTGGAGGTCACCGGTGGCCTTCAAGAGATCGAAGACTAATTCATTCGCGTGGCGAGAGTATATCTCGTCATATGAAACACAAGCTTCGGCTTTAAGGACTTGATGGAAGATTTTACGATGCTGTCGCCAAGTCTCGCCATACGGAAGGAGTACAGTATTGAAATCCAGTCCAGCTCTGCCTCATCAGCTGATCAGAATAGGCTGGATGAGAGCAAGACGTACATCTCATTGGTAGGAATGACGGGGCGGTCCGAATAAATTGCAGAACGTTTGTCCAACAACTCCCGCGCGATCGATTCAGAGTTTATAATGATCATATCGATCCCAAGGATGCGACAGTGAATGATTTTGCCTATGAAAGGGGGTAAATTTCAATCCAAGCACTTGAAGAGACCTTGAGCCACCCACCATAAATCTTTCCCCAGGCAGTATATGTGAGCCAAGGTCGTTTGGTGTCCAGTTGCAGTGCGTTACCCAGAAATGGTAAACCGCGAGGACCAGGCGGCAGAGGCAAAGAGTGGACGCGTCTACGACTCAGACGCAAAGCGGTAATCAGTGAAATAATACAAAATGTCGCGACAGAGAGAACCCGAGCGGAGAACATCGGGAGGGACAAGTTATTGTTGAAGCTGAGACGTTCCGAGTCGTTCGCCTTAAGCTTACGACACCGGACTCGGACTTCAGGGCAACATAATCATGGGGGCCGGCTGCTATTATTTTCGGAAAATCTTACTGTTTTCTCCGAATAAGCAGAGTCTGTCTCGACTCTTGAGCTGCAACTCCCATTGGAATGATACGTTCAAACGCTAAGTTTAGATCTCGAGCTCTGCGCGTGCGCTCGCAATATGCCGTGGGCGCTCATTGTCTTATCTCACGACAAAGGCGGGCACGACACATTGCTGCGCACTTGAACCACTCACTGCACGGACACTTTAATTCATACTGATAACTTGTTCTCGCAGATCATTAACCTGATTTATGGGCCATTATAGATCTTGCTAGCATGCGTCTGTTGAAGCCCTCCGCCATGGAGCAGCAACAGATCGACATGGAGTATGGTATTTCCAAAACAGTCGCAGTCGTTTGTTATGGATGATAACATACCAGCATTAATGCTCTTGGTGATATGGAGGTGGTTGAGAATGAATTTGTGTCGGGACAAAAGTCATCCCCATCACTATTTCGGATGTTGACTATTGGGTGACGATAGCGCACAATCATGTACGTCTGGTGTTATTTTGATATCCCTTGGGCTCGGTACAATCTTATCGTCTGCAAAGTCAGGCACTTCGAGAAGATACCGGATCCCAGTAATAAGTACTAGAATAAACTCAAACTTCCAAGACAGTTGCGGCAAATCGGCAAATCGAACTGACCTATGATCGTCCACTATCATAGTACCTCTTTGAGATCCTATACCGCAGTTGTGACACTCCAGCACAACTAAGGATAGGTGAGGTAAGCTCACCATTATAGAATGGTCCTGGATTTGTGTATATAATGTATAATGTTGATGGAGCAGTTGAAAGGAAAGTCACGGGAGAGATGGTATGCCCCATATGCTGGCCGAGGATTACGGAGGTCATAAGTGTATGTGAAGATCATATCCAATGTCTGCCAGGACAAAAAATATCACCGTATTGTAGGTATTGTAGGAAGCTCCGTTAAGTTGTAGCCACATTGTTCCCGTTCGCGGATAGACTTTCTAGCATTGAGTCTGACCGCCAATTTACTGCCTTAGTGAGCTTCGCGTATAGAAACAATCTCACTCACACTGTCATCATCGAGTTCACATAGGCTGTGACAAGGGTTTTAGTCTGTTCGGAGCGCAAGGGACACATACTGACATTTTCCTACCACTGCTCCGGGCGCAGCGGTATAGAACTGTCCGATAAGACCGTCTTGAAACATATACTGAGACAGCCTTGATCCCCCGTCTTGCAAGCATAGATGACAATCACTTACCAGCACAGTCACACTGATTGCTACAATGCTAGGGACCATATGAAGCGGAATATGCAACAGGTATGGAAGATTGCACATACCACGAAAACAAACCCATGTTGATAAAAACCCACATTATATCATTGACATAATTTCTTGACTTTCTCCTTTCATCACAGAATCCTGGATGAGTCGGATAACAAGCGAGGCAGAGATACTACGCACCGAACATTCCCGGTTCGTGCTGGTCGCATGAACAACCATATGGACACTGTGATGACAGAATCACATAATGCGCTGATGAATGACCCTATTGGCGACCACTGATTCGAGGTATGGTTTCGTTAGGCTTATTCAAAACTATTCTATGACTGGCCGGACCTTCGTGCTGAACAGGGCTTCAGGGCTTCTTGTGTATACTCTTTGGCACCAAGGTGAGAAACCGTATAAGTTTAATGATCGAGCACTTACCCTAAACCACTGACGACTAGGAACCAAGACGATGGCATGTCAGAATAGTAACACTAGAATTGAAAGGTTAATGTAACTCATGCCACAAACTAGTGTTCAAAAGTCAGAGAGGGTACATGATTGTTCGAAGAAGCTGACCGAACGATGTAGTGGCGAGGACGCACTGACGGTCTGTGTTATAACTCTACGAAAGAAATGATGAAAATATTATCTCACAATTATGCCCGTGACCCAGTGGTTGTTGCCAGTGACTGAAAGAGCGCATTGAGACCCTTACTTTACATATTCTGAAGTACTCACTTGTCCACACCCTGTACGCGTAGAAACTGTGTCATTGAAACAAATAAGCATCATCCTGAGAGCTAGCCACTGGGAGACACACCACTGAACAAAGAAAATGACCGAGTACTAATAATTTGTTACTAGATATCATGGACGACCAAAGATGGAGTACTTACTGACATAAATAATCCCAGCTTTGTTGCCAAGGATCATTGTACAGTACATTGCAATGATACAGATGTACTTACTAGCATCTGCCTATTTTCCCAATGAGTCCGTGTGGGATCCAGGAACAAATCTATCGACTTACCAGGGGAATTTAGTCATGCACTCAAGGGACGTGCTACGTCGACACGAGATAAGGATAGACCAATAGATCGCCATCATTGCGAATTGGTGAATCGTTTCAAAAAGACTGTGACATGGGCATGGCATCAGCATACATTCAAGATCGTGTGGAGCACCTACAAGACTGTCATTATCTAATGATGAAAGATGGCATCGTCGATACTTTTATTAATATAAGAGGTGTGCTCACGAATAACTTGAGTCTTTTCGAATCTTGTGGAAAAGATCGCAGGTAGAACATATACTGCCCAAAGGATATCCCATAGAACCTTTGGAATTTTGCATGTCAATATTGGATAGAGACTGAGTGACGCGAATCCATACACTGTAGCTATGATGAATCCTTGGCCTATGTCAGCTGCGAGGTAAGTCGAGCCACCGGAATGCTCACCAATGAGCCCCGGCCCCCACATAACCTCAATGGAATTGGGCGCCATGGGACGCGAAGGAGAAACACGAGTCGTTAAAAAAAGAGAGTGGGCTGAATTAGACTCTGAATCTGCGAGACTCTTATGCCTTTATATTCACGCATCATCTTTGGAAGTGTGCGCTTGGCAACTGATGACGCCATGTATAAATCCTCCGGCCATTACCCGGGTCCGACGTCTCGTAGTTTAGTGGCCTTGCTTGAAATGAGGCCGCTTCTGAATTTAAACTTAGGCGCTAACTTGTTCAAAATCCACGAGGACCTTGCCTACCATTGAACGACTTATTAAGAGCTGTTGGAAGCAGATAAAAAGTCTGGAACGCTGGCAGAACACTCGCGTTCAGCCTGAGGCCTTGAGTAGAATTTTTTGCGGCGGGGGTAATAAGATACCGTCGGTCGGATTCAATGCATCCTTCAAGTTAGCGGCAAACTTGAAATCGACAATTTCCGACGTGCAGGGTACTAGTACTAGTACCAGTCGATATGAGCTTTACAGCATAATTTATTCATTTATGTACCAAACTTGAATTTTCTATTCGCCTGGTGGTTCAATGCTACTACTAGGTGTTGTAAATGGTTTTCGCTTGCTACAACGGCTCAACTTGTGGTGTATTATGTCACGGCGTATATCATTTTACTTTCCCGTGGAGGAGCTGGACAAACAGTAGCCTGCCCGGCTGGATTGTACACAGTGACTATATGTTCCTGTATAACTACAAAACTGTACAATGTATCAAAAAATGAGTGACAGAGGTCTCGCACGTAGCGAACTCCCGAGTCCCATGCCATTCAGGGTTAAATAGTATCGTAAAAGATGAAACCCCGTTGTGTGTCCAGCTCCCCAAGTAAATATAAGCTGTAAAAGGAAAGCAATGAATTCTGGTCTATCAATATGAAAGTAAGTACATCTAAAAAAACTCAAGTTGGTCGACACAAGTTCTGAACTTGTTCTGAACAAGCCTATTTGGTGTAGCTCAGGGTGGTGTTCGTAAACACTCGTCTTGGTTTAATTGAACATTTGCCTCGAGCCCGATGTGCTTAAGTAATAGATATAATGCATTTCGCGAGGTAAAAGAGCCGTATTTTCAATGTATATACAATAGATCTACTAATAATACAAGTATCGTGATTAATAATATGAGTATCGTGATTAATAATACATGTCACGCGATATCCGAGTCTGAGTTTGAGTCCAAGTCGAAATCGGAGAGCTCATTCCTGCGCTGTTGAGACGTCCCACAAATGACCATATGGTCTTTCCACCCGTCCAAGTCAGCTTTCTCCTCATCAGTGAGATCATCCATGCCCGAACAGATCATTTCGAAGGTAAAAGCATCTGCGTCTGGGGACGACTTAGGTGCAGTGAGTATCAGGTGTGCTTGTTCCGCCAGCACACGTTTTGTTATTGCGCCGGCCAGTCCCATTGCGAAGTGCAGCTGTCTGCGTGGCGAGACGAGCAAAACGTCGAGTTGAAAGCGCATATTCCATACCATTCGCGTGACAAGGTGAAGAATGAAGTGATTTTTGAACTTCGAGTGAATTGTCAGCGTCCCGTCCTGTTGACAACTCAACATGTGATTGGTGATTGAAAGTGCAATGAAGACCATACCACATTAAATGAGTAATCGTGCATGAACACGTTGTTTCGAATGAGGTGTCTCACACGATCCATGCGGAAGGTCTCGGGGGAGATTGGACTGCCCTGCGGAGGGAAAAGTCCATAGGCCATTACGACGCCTTCTCGAGTGAGGGTCGTAACCGCCGTGCGCATGACAATTACCGCTCGCCAGATTGTTGCAAGGTCCTTGGTTTGATTCTCCCAGCGCGGTATTCCTGTTGGTCTGTTAGTTAGAAAAGTATTGAAAAAATTAACATACCATTAAGCCCTGGAATCTTGGGTGTCGCCTTTCGAATGATAGACTTGATAATACGTTTCTTGTCGGCCGTAGACGAGGCCATCGCGTCCTTTGTGAGGGCGATGCCCACGACAAGTTCTTTGGAGCGTTTGAAGATTTGATCACGGATGGGTCCTGTAACCTGGAAATAATGGTTGTCGCCCGAGGCTCCTGCATGGCTCGGAGTTGCGTGCATTGTTGCAGTGACATCAGCCTGTGTTGTTGCAGGAACAACAGGGCTCTCGTGAGTAAATTGTGGTGTTCCAGGTAATTGTCGAGTACGTCGTCGTCTGTTGGACGATCGCGCGGGTCCCGTTGTCTATAATAGAGTTTGAGAGAAATAAACAAAATATACTTGAAACTTACGTGTATAACTTGTGAGCGCGGTATCTCACCCGTTGCGATGGGGACAAGAGCATCTCGAGGCTCCAATGGTTCCTCTTCATTGTGGTCGAATAGTTGAGGAATTTGTATGTGGTGTGGGTTAGGTGCTTGCATGTTGTCGAAATCGGAAAGATGCTCGAGACGCCTGGGACTGTATGAGCCTGTGAAAACGATCAGTGACGATGTCTCATCGATGATCAAATGACTTACCATCAAACGATCTATAACTCTCATAATCGAACACCGGCGGCTCATACGGTGGAATGTCGTTATTGGGGTTTGATTGATAGGCAGGGTCAGTTCTAGGTACTGAATCGTTGTACATGTTATAATCGGGGTTAGGGAATGTGTAATCCATGTCAGTGCCCGATGATGGATGAGTGTGAGCGCTTGATGATGGATGAGTGTGAGCGCTTGATAACGGATTAGTATGAGCGCTCGATGACTCAGCGGGAGCGCTTAAAGATGCATCAGCCTGAGGGCGAGTACTTGATGATGCAACGTGAGCGCCTGACGGACCCGTGTGAGTGTCGTAGGTGTGAGCAGGGTGGAACGACGGCACATAACCACTGGGAGCATGTGCACTGAAGGAATTGTAGTTGTCGTAACGAGTGCTAGTAGGTGCATAAATCAGTAGTAGCTGTCAAGACAGAAAAGTACGCACCTTGAGCTGAACCCGTCGTGTGGATTGAAAACGTTTGCCATTGGTTCATGGGGTTGTTCGTCGCTGAGACACATCTGAGTGTCCGCTGGGACGTGTGAGGGATTCAGACCAGACCCGCGAGTGGGTTTTGGTATCGTTGTTTTACCTTTAGCACGTTTTACAGGCATACGCAGGGAGGACTCCAGTAGTAAGGGCGCAATAAGGGCGCAGGGTACAGGTAAATATCCGCATAGCATTCTACTACAAACCATACTTAAACAAGATGTGTCAATCAGAAGACGCTGAAGAAGGGTAAGATGAAGGGGTACGATGTAAAAGTAAAGCATGCAAGTGACAAACCAATACAATCTGGGGGGTCGCCATCATAATTAAACAGTAACACGAGCAGCGTGTAATATTACATGTTCTCTTATCGATTGATCAGTGTCGTACATTGAAATACAATAATCTGTTTCACATACCGCGATTGGAAGGGCATGCAGCTGAATAGCCACCGATCAAGTTCACATGGTGGTACTACTAGTCACATCATCAGGCGCTTCACCAGCCCCCACCGGTGCCCCAAGACACTCTTCTTCGGAATCCAGGTCCGAAGAATCGTCTAGAACAATATCATCATCGTCATGAATCTCAAGACTGGGGAACCGGGATTGCGAGTCCGCAGGTCCGGATTGTAAGAATGCGTCTTTGGTTCGTGAACCTAAGATCTTTGAGATCTGTTCAGCTTGGGCTGAGGTAACACGAAGGATTTCGCATTCATCTTCATAGATGGCTTGAAGGTAATCTCTATCATCGTCAACTTCTGTGCGGTCACGCTCAGAAAAAATCCTCCTAAAGTTCTGCAACTCCTCGTCTGCAAATCCAAGTCGTTCTTCATTCTCGCTATGCAGGGCATCAAGGAATGCAGTGAAGCGCTCTGATTCTTCAATTTCCCACGCAGTCACCACAAGGCGTTGGCGTGCCGTCTCGCGAGCAGCAAGCTTGGCTTTATAGCCTTTGTACAAGGTTGAAGAACGCAGTTGTGCAAGGCCATTTTCCAAGTATCCGATATGCTTTGTCAATATAAAAATCAGTCCCTGTAATCCAGTAGAAAAAATATATTGTACCTGAAGAAATGTTTCCAATGATACATATGGCTTGCGCTCTTGCCCCATGACACGAGCTGCATAACGAACCTCTATTGGAGCTGGATATACGGGATATGGATGCTGCTTCCTCATCATTCTGTTGTGTATGAACTGCCGTCGTGCAGCACATCGAGGGTTCGGAGATTTAGACGGATCAAAAAATATGCTATCCGTCTCCTTAGCCGAAATCCCAAGTGTCTTTTCTGGCCTTGTGCTTAGTGGGGAAGTGCACAAGTCAGAATTCATAGTGTTGGGAGAGCTCCCTGACTTGGAGCTAGAATAAAAAAGAGATGTTTCAGGAGTGGTGGCGCGTCCACTGGATAGAGGAGAAGATGTGGGGCTGTTTAACGGACTTGGTGGGCCAGGCGAACTGCTAGGGGGAGGAGGAGATGAGACTCGGGGGGGACTACTGGGCTGAGAACGAGATGGAGAAGACATCTGTAAGCACTTTGAACTTGACAATGGAAGAAACCTACTGATATATAGAAGAAACCTGCTAATAGTATAAGCTGTTATCAGTACAATACCCTGTGAATGCACAGTCTGCGGAGTCTCAAAGACGTTACTGCCAGCAAGCGTCAGCAAAGCTCACAAGGAAAGGCCTAGTCAAGACTTGGCAGTCCGGTTAACTATCTGATGCAAGTATCTTTTTATCACTTTATTATTACATAGACTAACATATACCAGGCTGTGTCCCAACTGCAGTGAGGAGTTCCTTTCCATCGAGGCAGTCATTCTGCATCTTGATTCTCCGTCTACCTGTTGGCCACATGAATCACATCCACATCAATTTCCAATTCCACCTGCATTGCGAGGTTCTCATTCATCGACATCCTCCACTACTGGACATCATCATCCTCGATCTGGGTATGTCTTTGGTGTCGGCAAAAACTTATTCGACAGGTTGCAAGAGGATCAATATGATTATCGGAGGAAAATGAATACATATTACCCTTTTCATGATGAAGGGGAGTGGGAATTGGCGAGGTTTCTAGTTGAAAACCTGACTCAGACTCAGATCGACAAATTTTTGAAGCTGAAATGGGTAGGAGACTTGGAGCCCTATTTGACAGGTCTAACTCTATGTTTACAGTTTCACACCCGCCCAAGACCATCTTTCACCTCAAAAGATCAACTTCTCGACTGGATTGACGCACTCCCCTCTTTTGTGCCTTGGAAAGTCTCGACCATGGAGTTTACAGGCTACAAGACAACCTATCCTTTGCAACTCATCTGGCGTGATGCTCTCGAAGTTGTCAAACAGCTCTTTGGCGATCCCGTTTTCGCCAATCACATTACTTTTCAGCCACATGTTGTCGACATTGGGGGTCAGCGTGAATATGGGGATTATATGAGCGCCAATATGGCATGGAAAATTCAGGTCAGTTTTATCCGTCAGTCTACTATTCAAAGATTGATGCCATGTTCCTAGGACCATCTCCCAGTAGGTGCTACACAAGTACCGATCATCCTGGGATCAGATAAAACACCTGTGACACGCACTACTGGAGGGCTTGAGATGCACCCACTCTTCATTACGATTGGCAACCTCGATTCAGAAGTTCGCTCCAAGGCTACACTACGAGCTTGGCGGTGTATTGCTTACATGCCCATCGCCAAGTTTCGTGTGCATCCTGATTATCAGAGCATTCTGCAAGCACGGCTGTGGCATAAATGTGTCGATCTTGTCTGCGCCAATCTCAAGATTGCAGCAAAAAATGGTTGTTTTATGCCCGATCCTTCCCGATACATTCGTTACGTCTTTACACCTCTCATCGCTCACGTATGTGACCTCCCAGAGGCTACCATGATCGCTACTGTCAGTAAAAACGCATCTCCCATAACTATGGCGACACAGGCAAATTTTGGTGATGGAGTCCTCTACCCTCCTCGTACTGGGCAACACACGCTGCGACTCATCTATGAGATCTCCCAGGAGGCTGATCCTTGGGATCTCGATAAATTCCAGAAGGCAGCAAAAGCAGTCCATCTGTCAGGAGTTCACATGCCGTATTGGCGCGATTGGATGTTCGCATGCCCGTCTGTCTTTCTCACTGGTGAAGTTTTACATACCTGCATCAAGTTTTTTGCAGATCATCCGCTCAATTGGATCAAGGAGACAGTAGGGAAACCTGAGCTCGATGCTCGCTTCATGGTTCAGCATAAGCGGGTGGGAACACGTCACTTCACCAAAGGTGTCACCCATGTCAACCAAATGACAGGACGGGAGCACCGAGATATCCAACGCACCATTGTCGCTTCAATTGCAGGTGTTGCTCCACCCAGATTCATTCGTGCCATTCGCGCCCTTGTGGAGTTCATCTATCTTTCGCAGAATCCAGTTCATTCTCCTGATTCCCTACAGTCGATGGCGCAAGCACTTTCAGATTTTCACGTGTTCAAGGATGCTATTGTCGATGCTGAGGCAAGGAGGGGAAAGAAAGGTGTTAAAGAAGATTTCTTTATCCCGAAACTCGAGCTATTGCAAAGCTTTGGAGGCACAGTCGAGAGACTGGGCACTTTGATGCAGTTTTCGGCTGATATGACAGAGCGCTTACTCATTACACACTGCAAGCATCTCTTTGGGCGCACAAACCGGCGATCCACTGATTTTACAGAGCAGTGCGTACGGATCCTCAACCGCCAAGAGTCAATGGAATTATTCAACTTGTATGCGTTATTCTATTCTCGTGGCGCGTCACTCGTCAATGCCATATGTATGGAAGATGAGGAAGTGACAACCGTTAATCCAGCACTTTCCTGGGTTTCTCGTGTTCTCCCTGATGAAGCACATTCCATTCATGGACCTCGGCCAGTTCGGAATCATTTTCTTAAGGGCATTCTTTCTGGAGATGCTCACACTGCCTTCCATCTGACTTTGACACCAGATTTCAAGGCTCTGACACCCATTGCTATTGAAACCAAATATTCACTTGTTAATTTCAATCGTGCGCTCTCTCAGTTTATCAATCAGCTATCCCTCCTCACTGGCGAGCATACCCGCTGGGACCACAAATACGGACGCTTTTGCGCGTGGAACAAATTTCGACTACAGCTTCACTCTGCTTTCCAGCCACGAGTCATCATGCCAAGCAGAGTGATACAAGCGTACCCACCGAGTGATGCATTCCCCCTTGGAAACTGTGACGCTGTCCTAATCAATGTCATGGATGATGATGGCCAAAGTAGTAAGTTTATTCTTGCAGTCGTGTTTCAGATCTAATTCAAGATGTTTTTCAGCCAGTCGTGTTGCACAAGTCCGACTTATTTTTCAGCCGAAGATTCCAGGGACTTCTGACTTGGTGTTGCCAACGTTCCTCTCCGGTCCACTCCTCTACGTCCAATTCTTTCACTTCGTCGCTAATCCCAGTGACCGTCCTGAACTTGCAATGTGGACAGTAGAGCGCACATACACGATGGACCAACATGGCAGACGTTGTAGGTGTGGTGGCGTGATATCATTGACGGATGTAACACATGCTGTCGAATTGATACCAGAATATGGTAACAAGGTAGACGCAAAGATTTCTTCGGCCACTTGTTTGGAGAGCTATGACCGGTTTTTTCTTAACAGTTTCGCAGATAAGGAGAGCTATCATACATTCAGCACGGAGTTCGCATAGACGCAGTATCAGTACCTCATACTAGTAGTAGTAGTCACAACACAGACAATGATCTCAAATACATGCACAATTGTTACAAAGTTTTACAACGGCCATCACTGCTGCCTATAAATGGCCCTAGTCTAGGGTTCCAAATAGTAATCTCAATATAATATCGTTATTTCCAACCCATTTTACCCACTTAACGCTACCGCAATATTCGATTTACATTTTACTACGGATAAGTTTGTTCCACCAATCGCGTTGCTCCATCACCAGCGCCGTAAGCTCACCGTAAGCATCAAACTTCTTTCTGACAAGCGAAATTTCAAGGTCTTTTGCTGATGTAGCTGAAATTCTATCACCGTGACACCCTGGGACCCACACATTCAAATCTACTAGCCCTCAAATGCCCCAGGTCCCACCTCAACACCAAATGTGCTCTTCGCAAACCCCCTCACGCTCCTCTCCAGTTCGTCTTCAAATCCGCCATTCGCGAGGCCCAACAACGCACGCACACGCTGCCGGATCTTCGACACCCAGAATACGATGTCGAGGCTGAACATGGCAGTGCGGAAGAGTATGTCGCGCCAGAGCTCGCGCGCATCGAGGTGAGCCCACCATGCGCGAGTAGATCGTTCATGCGTCGTGACTAGCGAGCGGGAAGCCCAATACGCGGTGATTTTGATGCGGTTGACTGGAGAACCGAGCGACTGATTGTTACCTTGTACGATTCTTTGAGATGAAAGTTAGCGAATGTAAATGTATGAATATGGAATCTCTGTACCGCATATTTCGTCCTAAGAAAATCAGCTCCTTGGGCATCTTATCGGTATCCACAAGGAATCGTTTCAGTCGTTCTTTCATCCGTACACTCTGCTCATACGCATTAAGCTCCTTGCCGGGATCCCCATTAGCACTGTCTGCAGGCGAACTCGACCCGTTAGCCCGATCAATTTTCACAGGCCGCATCAGGACAGCACTCGCAAACAGCCCCGCTTCGCCGACACCCCAGCTTTCGGTGACGTTTCTTATTGTGTCCCAATTCGAAGTGAGCAGTGCACGCCAGAGAGAGGCGTACTGGCGCTTGACGGTGGGGCGTATAGTGACATACAAGCCATGGTCTAGTAGTACTAGCTGAGGATCGCGAAGCACAGGTTTCGATGACAATTTAGATGATGACGAAGAGCCTGGGCGGGTACGAATAATGATGTTCCCTGGATGCGGGTCGCAATGGACAAAGCCCCAGTCGAACATCTGTGCACTGAAAAGTTCAACCTGCACGAATAGGAGGTATATCAGTCATAAGTCTACAGAAAGGCGAGAAAATACGAACCATTGTATGCATTATTGCGTGCATCCCGCCCCGTAATTTAACATGATGCATGCTCTCAGGAATGCCATTTTTCTTCTCATCATGTACTATATCCGCAAACATTCCCCCGCCTGTTTCAGGTAGTTTCTCACCGACAACTCGACCCAGTGCCTCCCGATCGCTTAGTCGCACACCATCGATCCACTCCGCTGTTAGCACACGCTTGGTTGAGTACTCGGGGTAAACCTTTGGAATGTGAACTTTGCCAGCTAGTCGAGGTTCGGATGCGACGAGAGTTGCAGTCCGTTGTGCGTTAGAGGCCTCGGAAATGAAATCGAGTTCAGCACGAAGGTGAGAGGAAATGAAGTCTACTGACGCGTCAGTTCTGTATTTAAGTGTTGTAGAAGGCAGACGCACCGACAGCAAAATAAACAGGTAGGTCAAACACCCACTTCTCGAATGCCCACATCACAGCTCTAAATGCCATGAGATCGTAACTGGTCTGGCGCCCTACATCTGGCTTCTGTACTTTCACCGCGACCCAGTCGCCATCCCATGTGCGTGCTTTGTGGACCTGTGCTACGGAGGCACTGGCAACGGCTTGTTCGTCAAAGTAAGCAAACAGCTCTTGAGGGGACTTATTAAATTCGCGTTGGAATACGCGAGCAATGGTAGGATAAGGTATTTGTGGAGCATCATCGAAGAGGCGGGCGAATTTTTGCTGAAATGGTGCGGGCATGAGCGCAGCATTCGCGCCTATTGCTTGACCTGGATCGAATGAAATATAATGAAAGGTGGAAAGAGTGAACAGAATGACGTACCAATTTTTATGTATAGTCCGCCATTGCTAGTGAAAAGGTTATACATTCGATCTGCGACGCGCTGGTGGATGGCGGGTATACGGTCTGCATGCTCTGGCGTGAAGTTAAGCTTGTAGTCTGCTGATATGAGTGCACACTATTTGTCGTCAGTCATAATTTGAAAGCGCTAATGATGATCAGGCTTACAGTCCATAGTGTGCGAAGATTACGGGTTACGGCGGACGCATTGAGTTCAGTATCTGCAAGGTAAGCTGCACCGAGACCGAAGGTAGTGTATACTGTTCGTTTGACCAGCCGGGAGCGAGAAAAGGGGGGAAGCATTGAAACTTGAAGAGCGGGTGCATCATCACTTACACGGTATCCAAGACTTTTCACCAAGCTATGCCGAGTTGATCCCGTGACGTGGCCCACTAGGTAACCGGTAGTATTACCATCTAGTTAATTGTACTACAATACGTACGATCTCTCGCTATTTTACTTAAGTATTCTGTTTTGACAATCATTCCACTTCATGGCACGCTTATTACCGTCAGGGCGATTCATTGAGGTTAGTTTGGAAATGACTTATATCATTGAAGACATCTTGTAAGTACTCCTTGAAGGAGGCACATAGCATATGATACATATGCGCAATTGCAGTGTTTTCGCCACTCCCGTTCTACTCACCACCTTTCAAGGTCTTCTCCCCCGTAATATCCCACTTGCCGAACAGAAGACTGTGCGTATTTGAATTAATAACTGCATCCACAAATACCCCCAATAAACTTACTCAAACGCGGCCATGATGGTCCACTTCCGGTTGTCCGCTTCTGGGAAAACAAGAGATCGAGAGCTATAAAACACCTAAAGCACGAGTCATATATCGAACCAATCTCGAAATGAAAATTCAATCGGGAACCAACCTCATCGTCTACTTCATCCTGCTTTCGTGGGAGGCAGTGGAGGAACTTCCAGTCTGGATTTGCACCACCTTCGCGACAGAGACTTTCTGTAATCTGATAGCCAGCAAAGTCCGTTAAACGCTGAGCCTTCTCAGCTTCCTGGCCCATTGAAATCCTATGACATAAGATGTATGAGATAATCACATGCCCAGGTGGGGACGGCGCGACGTACCAAGTATCGGTGACTACGACATCGGCACCTTTTACAGCTTCCCGGGGGTCGTTACTCCAGACAATGTGCTTGTCACACCCAAGCTCTACGACACGGTCCCAGACAGGCTCGGGAGGGTTGTATTGAGGTTGTGGAGGGGTTGCGACGCGAACCTTGTGACCCAGACGGGGGTAGGTCACGAGCATGTCGTGGAGGACGTTTGCAGAGTCACCGACATATGCAATCGTGAGTGGTCGCAAGGGAGGAAGAGGCTTTGTAGGAGAGGGGGCTGGTGTATCGGGCGAGAAGAGGTGAGCATGCTCATGGAGTGTCAAGAGATCTGCAAGAACTTGCGTTGGATGCCAAAAGGACGATAAAGCATTGAGCACAGGTACTGGTGAATACCTCGCAAGTTCCTGAAATAGCTAGGTTAAATATAGGAACAATAGGCGGGGGATTTTCGCACCTCGATCTCTTCGTGAGCACCGACGCGTGCGAATATACCTTCGCACATACCACCGATGACTCGTGCAGAGTCACGGGGAGATTCGTTCACGCCAAATTGGATATCAGCTGGAACCCAGGAAAAGGGCACGTCCACCCAAAAGAACTGCAGCGGTCTCTGCCGCCATACGAGTGCGCGTGCTGCGTTTTGAAAAGAGAAGAGCAATAGACTTGTTGAACAGGGACTGAGAGGGCATACGAAGATTGTTCTTTTTCTTGGTCGCCTGTTGTGGGGCCAACCAAGGTAGAGACAGATGCTTCAAGTGATGAGCATGGTTAACAAGTCGATTGATTTGAGGACCACTGAGGTCTGCGAGCGTCATAAGACGCGGAACGACAGACATCCTTTGGTTAATATCCTGTTATAATGCTTAGAACCTCCATGTCTATCCAGCTAAGTAACTAACCTGGGGAGCGTTTGAAGGTAAATTGAATTGAAATATGAAGTTGACTTAGCATAATTATCTTACATAATATCTTCGGTATTAGCCGACTTCCTTTGGCAGTTCCGCCCCTTCACGACTTCTACAACTACGACAGGCTCATCATTGTCCTCAACGGTTACAACGTTCTGCTCACCGGTGTCGACATCATACTCGTTGTTGTATACGACGAGCCCTATCTTTTAGTCCTTATTTACCGCAGTGTTGATCCGATTCCATTTCACGCGTCGTGGGAGATTAACCAAACGCGATGGAGGCAACAATGCCTGCCGATGTCAACTCAAGGTCACGCTCCCCAACTCCAGCTCCACCTGTTCAACCCGACCATTTCTTTGGTTCAGAGGGCGCATACCTCCCACCATCTCCCAACTCAGATGGGAGAACATGGCTCGAGCCCGACGATGACCCCCTAGCCCATAGAGGCATACCAGTGTTCAAACCGACCATGCAAGAATTCCAGGATTTTGAGGAATACATGAATAAAATAGAACGTTGGGGGTTGAGAAGCGGTATCGTTAAGGTAATACCTCCTAAAGAGTGGTGAGTGTCGTGAGATCCTTTGACTCTATGACACAAGCCCACATATCTACATAGGGTCGACGCACTTCCTGCAGCTAAAAAGGAATTGGGAGATGTCAAGATCAGAACCCCAATAGAACAGCACATGCTTGGTCGCGGTGGTCTGTTCCGCCAGGAGAATGTCGAGAAACGCAAAGTTATGAGCGTCAGAGAGTGGGCAGAACTCTGCGAGAAGGAAGAGTTTTGCGCACCCGGCGTCGAAGACATCGGCCTTCATGGCAGAAACGCGGCCGTAAAGACGAGGTCAAAGCGCACCAAACTGAGGGCTGCAAGCACCAAGGTTGAATCTATTGAGCCGGAGGACTCTCCTGCCCAGGTCAAGGAAGAGGATGGAGGTGACAATAATGAAAGACATGATGGAATTTCTGCCCCCCTGTCTCCGCCGACAAGTGTTGTACTTCCCCAAACTCCAGTTTCCACAACTTCTGACGACCCAGTTCATCACCCTGATCCTTCGTGCAGCGATCAACTACCAGGAGACGTGGAGATGACTGCCCATGATGATGATGAAGTTTCTGAAAAGAAGCCTATCGTGAAGAAACGCGGAGCTCAAACTCGGGAGGTAAGGGAAGCAGAGCGTGCAGCCAAGGACGCAGCGTTTCTCAAAACTTTCGAGCCGCACAAAGATTGGCTACCTCCATGCACTACTGCTGATGATTACACCGTGGAGTTTTGTCAGAAGCTCGAACGGCACTTTTGGCGGAACTGTAGCCTTGGGAAACCAGCTTGGTATGGAGCGGACACTCAAGGTTTGTATACGTTCTGTTCAAGAAGTTATATCTAAGGTTTTCATTGAACTAGGCTCTATTTTTACGGACGAGACTACAGCTTGGAACGTTGGTCATCTCCCGTCATTCCTGTCTCGGTTGCTCCCTTCGTCATCCAAAGGCCTGCCAGGCGTGAACACACCTTATCTGTACTTCGGGATGTGGCGTGCTACCTTTGCATGGCATGTTGAAGACATGGACCTCTTCAGCATCAATTACATCCATTTTGGAGCTCCCAAATTCTGGTACGCAATGCCACAAGGACGGGCCGCAGCTTTGGAATCAACCATGAAAGGTAATTTATCAATTTCATTTCTTCAGAGTCACTGATTGTTCTAGGCTACTTCCCGAAGGATATCTCGCAATGTCCTCAGTTCCTGCGGCACAAGTCCTTCCTAGCATCACCTACCCTCCTGGCACAGTCTTCATGTCGTCCCAATTTTTTGGTTCAGCGTGCACAAGAGTTTGTCATTACCTATCCTCGTGGATATCATGCCGGCTTCAACTTAGGTTTCAATTGCGCTGAAAGTGTCAATTTTGCGCTGGAGAGCTGGGTAGAGCTTGGACGCAAGGCCAAGGCATGCCAGTGCATTCCTGATAGGTCAATATCTCGTCGTATTGTCTGATCAGTGGTCTAACTTCCTTCTAGTGTAAGGATTGATGTAGATCAGCTGCTGTACGATAGAGAAACCGAGCGCTTGGACTCTCCAGCACCTGAGCCCGAAAAACGACAACCTTCATCAAAGCGTAAAGCTCTTGACGGCCCGGAGCCTCAGCCCAAACGCAAACGCCCCAAAGCCAAAGAATCATCGACCTCTATGCCGGTTGCAGGGCCATCCGCGTCAAGGGTTACCCTCAAGCTTGGCCCTCGGCCCGTGGAGGATATCTTCCCCTGCTGTTTGTGTATCTCAACGAGCAGGGATGGCTTGTTACCCGTACAGGATCCACCTATCGGTCGGCGGGAGCTTCCTGAAAGCTTATCGAGTCTCGCAACTGAGGCTTGGATGGCACATGAAGAATGTGCTAAAGTGGTACCTGAGACTTGGGTAGACGAGGTTGAGACAGAGATGACCATGGAGAAAAGGGTGTTTGGCGTGGACGCGATCGTGAGAGATCGATGGAATCTGGTATGTCCCAATACAGCGAAACACCTTCACACACGCTTAGCTGATCGCCGTGCACAGAAATGTGCTGCTTGTACAAAAGCGCGACAGAAAGCCCATGGTGCACCTATCCAGTGCACCAAAGGCAAATGCGCGAAATCTTTCCATGTTGGCTGCGCGAGAAATGGAGGGACCAGCGGCATCGTTTTCTCAATACTGCGTGAGGTCGAGAAGGAGGTGATCCTAGTATATCCAAACCCACCACCTCCTGCGTATCCTGTCTCAGCTCCTGATGGAGCCACTGCATCTTTGGATCCAGCTTTGTCTCAGTCTCAGATGCAATCAGGCGCAATACTGCCTTCTCCCGTTGAGGTAGAGCCCCAGGTGCTGAAGTCAATCAAGAAGTACGACGTACATGTTCTCTGTCTGCAGCATAATCCAGTGAGCAATTTCTTTTCGTGAGGTTTAGCAACGAGGAGTTGACAGCCACGTTTGAAGGCCGTCGCCGCCGCAAAGAGGGCTACCAAACAAGACCGTATTAAAACCGAGCTCGTTGGTCTCCCACCCATGTCGCGAATCAAAATTCGTGTTAGCTCTGGTGTCTTTGAGGTGTCTTTGGTGCGCATTATCGAGGAGACCGGGTCTGTCGAGGTTCTCTGGGACCGCGGTATCAAGCGGGAATTCAAGTGGGGAAGTGTCATCTTCGGACAGACTGAAGGACAGACTGTGGTGCAAAAGCCCTCGGAACCAGCTCCTGAGCGTGAGTCGAACTTTTTCCCACACCCCTCTTGTTGTTCACTTGTATCTTGTGATCCGTTTTGTTGCGAGTGCAGTTCCTCATCCTTCGATGCAGGTAACAGCTCATCCGTCGATATCGGCGGCTACGTCGTCGTTGTCGTCCCCGATTCCAACGCAGGCAACTAGCCCCACGACACACTATGCCCCATATTATGCTCCGCAGTCTCATCACCAGTATTACTCCACAAATGCATATGGCTCAGGAGTTTCGTCATACCATACCAGATACGAAATCCCAACACATCAACCGATGACGCAGATTCCCCATGGGTATGCCGCATTTTATTCGCAACCTGCGTATGGCCAGCCTGTCAGCGATAACAATACCGCACACCAAGGTCAGGAATGGCGCTCAACTACAATGGCAGCAGCCACACCCTGGAGGGCCGCTTGAGAATGTGCACACTTCAGATCAATAAAACTTGTCAGAAACGATAAGGTATACTTATTTTCTATTCAGAGGGGACGATTCGCTTAAGGTACATTATTAATGGTGTTTTGCTTGTATTTTGCGTGTATTCTTTGCAATTTACTGCATCAGTTTTTTTGCTCTCCCATGAAGCGTTGATAAAGCCAACTAGCGAGGAGGTGAGTTTGGAAAACAAAGCTTGGCGATTGTGTCAAAGGTACGTTTGGAAGATGGTTGGTTGTGCGCGCCTGTGCAGGACGGCATCCACAGGGATACATACCGGTCAGACTTATCAGATGGAAGCAAACAAACATCTTTGTCATCAAATTTTGTCTATATTTTTCGTGCACGTATCTATTATGGGGTAATATTTGCAAGTACCGTAAATGTGATTATCAATGGCCCTTCTAGAATTTGTACTTGGAAACAACCTCCCAGAAGCTCTTGCCTTGGATGGTAGCGAGTTCTAGTTCAAGGGCTGAAGGCTGGCGCGACCCATCGGGTCCAGCGAAGGTGCCAGCACCCCAAGGAGAACCTGAGTGGAAGTCAGATAAGCAACCTTCGGTTACGAACGCTAAGGAGTAAACATACCACCGCGGACCTCGCTTATGTTGGTGAGTTGCGCGAATGTGTTTTTGTAGCCCAATGGGACGTAGATAATCCCGTGGTGGGCAAGAGTTGAAAGGGAGCTGATGATGGTAGCCTCCTGTCCTCCACCTGGGGTGCCTGTAGAAACGAAGACACTCGCAAATTTGCCAGCCAAAGCACCGCTAGCCCAGAGACCACCAGTTGCGTCCCAGAAAACCTGTGAGAATGGAAAAAAAGATGATTAGAATTTTTCGATGGATTTAGCGGGTCAGAGACATACTTTCCACTGAGCGGGGAAATTGCCATAACGGGTAGGAACGCCGAAGACAAAGGCGTCAAAGTTGGCCAGTTCGGCCGGGGTGATGATGGGATAACTTGGCTTTGCGGGAGCATACATCTTTGTGAGGACTTCCGCGGGCAATGTTTCAGCGATCCTGGTTAATCCAGTAAGTAAGGTGATTATACAGATAGGCCCACGATTGGATACATACTGGTAAATGACGGCGGAGCCACCAGCGGACTCGATACCACCCTTGACAGACTCGGCCACTGATGAGATCTCGTATTAGTAGGAACTTCGGCGCCGTTCTGGATGGTTGTTACTCACTCTTTGCGATATGACCGTACATGGAGTAAATGATGATTGCAACTTTGGGAGACGACATGTTGAAAGTTTGAAAGTCGGAAGACTAGCAGTTGACAAGGAGAATATGAGAGGAGAGGATGATGTTGTTGGGGGGCTGACCCAATGGTATTTGTACTGAAATCTCGATGCTGTATCCCATGCTCACCAACCCATCCGAGTTCTGTAATCGCAAATTTCAAATTAAGCGCAGTTTCGTACCTTACAAAGCTCGAGAACTTTCGTCTCTATTTGGAACTGAACGCTAAGCTCGACAGCGAGTAGCGCGAATTTTGCCGCTACGTACGTGCGAACTGTTACTGGATTGTGACAAATCTCGAGAACTTTCACCTCTATTTGGAACCATCAGTTATCAACTCTGACTGTTCTGCTTCAACACTCCTGAATTCGGCACTCAAAAGCAATCTATCTCTCGGCAGAGAGTGTGAGAGGGCCGCGTTTGGGATTTCTGTCAAATGTTGCTCGGTCACGGTCACTTAAAAAGTCTCCCCGTTGCATGATTCTCACGCTGGACTGACACTTCCGTGATTCGGACATACATTGCAGCAATACCTTACCGGTGTCCAACTTTGGGCCGCCAAACTAGCACCAGTATGTACCATCTGCAGGCTGTGATACATCTTTGACGCGACGTGGTTGTTTAGCTGTGGTGATGGTCGTTGACCCCAGGAATGTATGTATCATCTATCGAAGTGTTCATTATATCCCTTCTGAAGACACGTCGCATAGTATTTCATGAATTTTCAATGTGAAAGGCTCGAGTACGTTCTTGATTGTTGTGCGGTTAGTGCTGTACTAGTATAACAAATTCTTGGTCAGGAACGCATCACCGTGATGGTTCAAGAATTTGAGTCGCCCAGATGTATCTGTCTGTGGCTCTCGGTGTCAACGGACGAGCAGCAGGCGCTACTCGGGCCATTCTCAACCAATGCGTACCTCAGCTATCTGACCCAACTGTATCACTAACTTTCCCTGTTACGCCTATCAGATCCCGCGATCTCGATCGGGCAGTTTGTCGCCAACGTTGACTACAGCTCTTTGACCGAGATGACCTGGCGGCAACTATCTGTAGCGGCAAACTGGGTTTACCGTGAGGGACACGAACATGTGGACTTGCCTTCGGGAGATTGAGAAAATCTCTTGGTACGAACTCGATGGTAATATCATGTCTAACACTGGATGACCTGACACGGTGTACTAATAAGAGCGGACTGCCCGAAGCTTGGCTGAGTAAATTGGTTGGTATACGCTGTTTTTAACTGCCGCACAGGGAACAAGATCCAATCCCTCAGCACGTGAAGCGTCTCTCAAGGTCTGGGGTGTGTTCATCTATGTACGGGGCAAGCTTCAGTGGTTCGCGCTTCGTGCAACCCATGCACCCGACTCGGCAAGTCTTGCATTCATGGACCAGGTTCTCAAGAAACACCATGAAGAAGTTGTGCCTGTTTGAAATATGTGCTTCGTATGTGTTTATGGTTGAGATTGAGTTTACAGTTTAAGTTATCGTTGTGTATACGAAATACTCGTGTCACGAAAGGGATGGAGGACTTGGCCATTGTTAGCTTATTGCCTATTGCTTCTCACACTCTCGAATGTTCTGTTGTTGTGAGGGGCTTTGATATCATGGAATGGCTGAGTCTGTCTTTTTGCACTGTACATTAAATTTACATGGACCACCGTCGTGATGTCCCTTCAAGAATTGTAGACACTCGGAAATCGCAGTGTCATCGTCCGTGTCAGGAGCAAGGAACAATTGTTCGCCACTCACTGCATAGGTACTGGAGCTTGGAGGACATGTACGTCTGGCTAAGAGCCATTGCATACCTGCAAGGGAATTGATGTCGGTATAAAATATAACCCTGACATATTGAAACACGATCATAGAATGCGACTCAGATGAAAGGAGGCTCAGAATGTAAACAAGAGGCGTTCGATCCGTAAGTTCCAGACACCCTGCTTGGGCTTCATGTTCCATGGTCCACTTCCTTGACAAGCCAAGATGGACAATTAGTAATTTTCCGCAGTCAGACCTTGATAGTTTTCCTTCTATTTCAAGCCAAGCAAACAATACTCTACGTTGAAATTGTATTCACATCGCGTTACAGGGTATGCGTAGGATGATAATTCGAATGGATCCTGTCCGCAGTCTTATACATTCAATATATATGCAATATATACTTCCATTCAGTTCGAAGTCGACTCAGTATACGCTGTCGTGGCGAATCCAACCCGCTTGTTCGTGGTATCGAATATGCTGTAGAAACGTTCACTGCGCACAAACATCACAATTAGCTGTGCAATGGCTCGAAACAATACGATCACTTGCAGGAATGTGTATCCGTTGACGAAACCGAAGGTGTCGTTGCCAATATCCGCAACAATAAGGTAAATGTCGTCGCTGTTGCTGCTGGTGTCACCAATGACGTTATTCATCGAGCGAGGCCAGATTTGTGCATTAGGAGTGAGTGTGAACGCAGTCCCTCCGATAGTAAATATGAGGGGTTTCAGGTTGCTGTATTGATCTGAAGTGATCTTGAGCAGCCCGGTGGTCTCATCCAAGGTAGCACCAGTGACATTTTTGTAGGCATCGAAGGCATCTAGTACGGATTCAGTGTGTTTGCCTGGGCGCATATTATGTGAGTTTACCAGTCGCAATTAGAATGAGTACAGTAGCAGTGTCGACAATTCCTGCCGCCGAGGACAAGATAGTTGAGTCGCCATAAGTGATAGACTGGTCGATTCCCCAGTAATTACAAGCGGGCGAGGCAGATGTGATGGGGGTATATGTGATGTCACTCGTCATTAAAGAGCTATTCGAACCACCAAAAGTAAGTGTGCCAGTTGGATCCTCTTCCGATACAGGAACAAAGTAAACACCAAGGATCTCAGAATTTATGGAGTTTTGGCTGAAGAGGTTGTCCATGATGGTGGGAACTGTGTCCGTGTTAGACACCGTGCCTTTTGTCAAGCTCATGGGACCAATGCCGAGGACGCCGTCGACACCGCGAAAGCCCTGGTATTCGTTCGCCACCCCGATCGATTGTTTACTGACGCTCAATGAGCTCAGCGTGATGGTGTCTAGGTACTCTTGCCCAGAAAAATTGCCGGAACCGTAGGAGACAGCCTTGGGGTGAGACATCAGTATTAAATGATAGTACAAAGGAGTAGGTACATACAACCGCGTCTCCAGTGCCAGTACTGGTACTGGTGATGGTATACTCCTGGTCTGCTCCAATCCACGTATTACCGCTGGCACTATCCACAAGAAGTCCATCTGGCGTGGTGAACTCATAAATCATGGTTATAAGAATAGGTTTTTACTCGAATGACTCACAGTGCTTCATTGGATTACCGATACCAACCTGTATAGTGTAGCCTATGACTACAACGTTGGTGATGGATGCATTCGCATAATACTTGCCGGTTTTCGCAGCGTGATGCAGAGCTTGAGCGCGTGCTCTATCACCTGCGACGATATTGGTCGCACCAGCTGCTTTGAATTTAGCGGCAAGGCTAACAGCGGTTGTGCGGGTATTCAAGGGAATGGAGAAAACTGGAGACCCGACGACGAGCAGGAACGACAGGACGGTTTTTAGGGTAGTCAGAGGCAACATGGCTTCAACTGGAGGAAAAAAGGTTGTAGTGAGGGTTACTTATGAACGGTTAGATATCCCCGCATTTTATATCATATGAAAGGGATCCGAAGACGGGAATTAGATGAAGTTTAGCTTGGCATGAGCTCTGTCATGACAATCAGAAGTTCAATTTTACTTTGAACAAATGATCTTATTGACCTTCGGTTGCTTCTGGAAACGAGCCTTGTGGACAACAAGCCAATAGTCACATGACCGTGTCACATACGCGTTTGACTTCTTGCGCGCCTGCTCTCTCTCATATACTTTAACCGGTTCCTGCAGTAGCTTGTTCATGCCAGCACTCGATCGTTCTTATAATAATAACCACACATTCATTAGTTTTAACAGACTATTATGTGGCTCATCACTGGTCCATTCGATAGCGTCGAACAGGGGGATATGTCAACTACCAGTCCGTCTCTATCACTATTCTTTTCTTCTATTTGACACTCACTCGTAATTGCAGAGACTAAACTGCTTAAGCCTGGCAAAAACTACGGGCTCGGTCGTAAAGAGCAACCGCTAGTCGTGAACAACAAAAAGATTTCTCGTGATGCATGTGAATTCAGAGTGGGCCCGTATACGCCAGATAACATGGTACGAACCAAATTTCGATGCGAAACTCAGCTCACTAGCCCTCTAGGTCGATATATCATACGTTCCCAGACTTGAACTAGCCAATAACAAGCTTAAGAGCCTTATGGTAAAACGACAGAGAGAAGACGACATGACCTGCAATCCATCAGCCTCTATTACTCTTGAGGATGGAGACCACATTACGATCGTTTCCGGTATTGTGGTAGAGTAGGTGACCCGATATTCTCCAATTCTCATAGAGTCTAACACAGCATCCAGAGTACGATGGCGACGAATAGCATGTTTTGTTCCTCCAGTGAGAGGCATGCCCTCGTTTTCTTCTGAAGACTGCGCTTCAATCGGTTCGTGTCATCCATTATCTGATTGGGCTTGTTGACACCGCACACAGGTATTAGCACGCTTACTTCGGCACACGAGCTTCTCACCCATCACATCACACCAAAGTATGAAGTGACAACCCCGGTTATGACCTCTTTGCTCTGCGCCGCTCAACTTGTCAAGCCCGACTGGTTGCAGGAACTCGTACGACTTGGCAATACTCCCGCAGAAAACGATGCTCTCGGTTTAACTATCCTCGAAAAGTCTTTTGTCCCGCCAATTGAGAGCAAGTACCGTCCAGCATTTGGACCTGCCCTCCCTCCTGGGCTCAAGAGCTTCAAGCATTGGGAACCAAATGAAGAGAGGTTGAACTTACTAAGGGGCTTCCGCTTCGTTCTTCCCGCAGAGGACGGGGAAGTTGATGCAGAGCTGAGGGACCTGGTCGTAAGGGGTGGCGCAGAATATGAAGGATTCAATCTGAAGGCGGGGCTCGCGAAGTGGAGGCAGGTGATCGCTAAGGGAAAGAGGAAAGTCGAAGAGCTGAGAGGTGCAGGGAAGGGGCTGGTCGTGCTGGCGAAGAATAGCGTAATACAGAGGGCTGTTGAAGACGAAAAGTGGAAAGAAATGGTTGCAGATGCTGCAAGGTCGGTGACACGGAACACCTGAAGATGCTTGGCTGATAAATATGCTTAATAGTCTGAGCGTGTATGTCGTTCAACTGGAGACAGTTCTTGAGGCTGTTGTTCACGTCGACGCGTCCCGCATTGCATCCTCCGGAAGCGATTCACAAGGTTCTTTCATCATAATTCTATTCGATGTTCTATTATACTAAGGTCGCCTCCATTCCTGCAGAATTATCAAGCCACTCTTCTCCTTTGCCTTCCTTTGTTCCCAATACGCACCCCGACGAGCCGTCTTTCCCAGATGGCGCAGAGAAAGAAGTTCCCGGGGATAGAAGCCAACGTGCTGTCTCCCCCGGTCACGGAGGACAGGATTCTACTATGCGCTCACCTGAGCCTCCCGTTGTTCCTGATTCTCCGCCGACCAAGCCGAAGCGAAAGGTACGTACCAAGCCTGCATGTAGGTGGGGCTCCACTGAGAAACCACAGCTGGTGCGACGAGTGCCTGTGCCGGTTGAGTCAAGCGAAGGATCTTTGATGAATTTCAACAATCCAGAGTCAGATATTGACAAGGTTAAACTCGAATCTACACAAGCACCGGTATGTTTGACCTGGTTTTCATCGATATAATCTCCTGAATCGATCATTCAGAAACCACCGTCAGGCAATCGCCCGCGCTTGAAGCGCCGCTTAGGATTGCCTGGAATGCCAGGAGTTCCCCCTCCAGAGATCAATATACCAGTTGTTACCATCGACGTTGATGATGTAGTTGAAGAAGAACCCCCGCACAAGAAGTTCAAGGCCTTATTTGAGGCGAGCGACCCAAACAAGATGATTTTTGAGGGTTCGCAGGCTTTTGACGCAGCCTACGACAATGCAGTAGGCACCCAAAATGAGAGTCTCACACAAACAGTGCGGTCACCTGCCTTCGCACCGCCAAAGCGATTACCGGTTGTAGCAGAGGAAGAAGAAAGCATGAGCGGGCCCTCACAGCAAGCCAAGTCTGTTGCATTTGAGGTGCCGCCTCCGGTGGAGGATGGAGGACTTTCGTCCCAAATGCCAGCTACCCAAGCTAGGATAAAGTCAAAGGTACCTCTGTCGCGCCAGCCATCAGAACAACCCCAGCCAACAGCAAAGTCGAAGAAAGCCACTGACAGCGGCAAGCACGTGGTTGATAAGGACGAAGCTTTCCTCACTGCCGTTGCTTCGAAGAAACGCGGGAAGAAGACCGAAGATGATTTCGACCGCGAGTTCAATAAGTTGCGGATAACGAAACCGGATCTGCAGCGTGAAGAACAGCCATGGACAGATATGGGGGACTTTGACCTCCCAAACATCCGAGGGAACTTTATGGTCATTGTGGATATAGAGGTGTACAAGCACTCTGACCGTTACCGCGAGGCTGTTACGAATGACACTCGTGACTCTGTTAACATGAACGTACCGAACTTCAAGAAATTTAAGAAGGTGAGCGTCGGATGTACTGGTGCTCTGAAAGACCTTGTTGACGCAGGGTAGAAAATAAATGGACCCCGTCGTTCACCGATCAACCTCGTGCTTGCAGAGGAGAATGACTACGGCATGGGCGCAGGTGGGTGCTTCGGTTGCCTTCGCAGGAGCGAGCTCATCGTTTCGTAGGTTACTGGAAAGAGACCAAAGATTACGTTAAGGACTCGCAGGTGGCCGAAAACGAGACTCAGCGGAGAAAAGGCAAGCGCCGTGCGCTGGCGATCGGTTCTGACGAAGACACTCAGTCACAAATCGTTGAAACCATCAAAAAACCCGTTCGCAAGGCAGCTCGTATAAAGGACACAAAGAAATTGTTTTTGGACTCTGATGATGACGGCGGCAAAGACGATGGAGGCTTTGGGTCCTCCGAGGAACAATTGCCAGCCCCTTCTACGCCTGCTGCCCGTGCTCGGGCCAGTAAACGCAGGCGTGTCGTTGCCGATGATGATTCTGATGATGGTGTCACTTTCAAGGGCTTCAGCAAGAGAAGAACGAAATAGTTGGTAGTTCCACTCTAGACTGCCCACACAAGATATCAAAGCATAATGTATACAAATCGAGCAGTTGATTTTAATTAGTTCTATCGCAATTCGTCATGAATAGCAAACCCAAGCAAGCGCTGGGTTTTGGCTGCCTTTCTGCCTCCAGTTTGCCTGCAGCAGTATTAAGAGAGTGACAAATAGAGAAACGGAGTATGTACCTTTGTTCCTGACACACGAAGCTCTCAGGAGCACCTTCCCAGTCCTCTAATATATATTTTGTGGAATTGATTTGAGCTTCGTCATCATCACCAGAACCGAAAAGATCGAGCGCAAGCTGGGTATGACTCACACCAGCATACGTCGTTACACAGCGGGGATTCACCAGGATACGCGCGGGAGTGTATGCAGAATTAGGCACAGACAGGGGCGCTGCAGGGAGCACATCGATGGGTACATCTGAGTCCGGCATGGCGTCAAAATCAGAGCCAGCGTTGACGTCTGCGTCTGGCTCCTCGTCGGGGACTTGCCTGCGTGAGAGCGGCTGGCCTTCAGGCGTGGGTACGACCTCGTCCCCGTGGAAGTCATTCAGCGCATTACTGATCCACAGATCTCTGCAGAACCAGGCTTGGCTACTGTCCAGACATGACGCATCAGCTGCGCGTGTAGGTACGCTGTCCGACGAAGAGGACGCATTGTGGAAATCGGTACCGCAGCGGTATTTAATCCCTTTGTAGTAGGACTGAGTTGGATCGATGATGTGGGTGCCTGCTTCGCAGCAGAAGACTTGAAAAGGAAGATGTTGGATGTACCGAGCGGCGCCGCTCTCATCTCGAGGAGGGACTGCATCTGGTTTTGCTGAGGATGTGGATTGCCTGAACTGGTCGCCGTGAATGTCTCGCGTCCGCCACCTCAACAAAGTGTTAGATTATGTCGCTCAAATTATTAACGAATGAAGATGGAAAACCGACCTGTCGGAAAATATGAACTGCCCATTGGATTCTGCCCAGTCCATCCCACACACCATGGCAGCCTCATTCGCAACGCTGACACGCAGTGTCTCGAGAATGTCATTTGGACATGTGAATCCCTTTAGCCAAATGACGCGATGAAATTCAATTTCGCGCTTCTGGTAGAGCTCGAGAAGAGGCTCTAATGCAAGGTTGCGCATGTAGGCTTCTTCCAGGGGGTAATAGGCTGCAGTTGCGTCTTCTGTCATCCCAGGAACGCGTCGTATTCGGAAGGAGACACCCAAAAGGGTCAGAACGGCTTCACAGAGGTCGGTAAGGGTGGACGTAGAATCTGTAGAGTCATAGTCCAACATAGACACAAAGACATTGGAAGTACCCAGTCGCTTAGCAAGTTGGACAATGACAGCTAGTTGATCGACCAGGAAATGATCGGCTGAATGAATTGCCATTGCTACAAAATAAAGCCGGTCATCACTAGCGAGGTCATCATAGGCATCTTCGTCGACATTCTTGTTTTGTCCAAATGGGCGGGCTAGTGTTGGACAATAAGCGGCTACCCAACCATTGAGAGATAACAAGCTCTCGACAGCAGTTAGAACATTCTGGAGATCTGCGTGAGCAGTGTCCTTGCCCATTATTCTAGTCGGCTGTCGCGTCAGATATCATGAAGATTTGAAAAACAACTTACAGTGGTGCTTGAAACCGATTCCAATAATCAGTGACCCCGTTGGCTATGACATCGTCAAGGATATCCTTCCTGACATCTCTCCCTATCCTCCATTGCAAAAATTTGTACTTTCGTACATTTAGAATCTTGTCTACACCCGTGACGCGCTCAAAGACGTTGTAGGATTGGAGGACTGATGGCTCCAGTGAGGATGAAGAGCGGGGGCTAAGAACCAGTTTTGCACCAATGATGAGAGTCAGAGCAATAAACACCTTCGTCAGGAGGTGACGCCTTGGAATGAAGGCCATCATAGGGACTAATATTCAGACCTCAGACTAGACTGGTGACCAGGCAGACCTGCCCTTCTATGAGGCGATAGACTGTGACAGAGCGGATTTTCGGGGATAACGTAACTTGGGTCATGGTCTATCGCTGCTGTTGATTACTCAACATAATAAAGCTTGTATCAATAAATATCCGACCTTAGCTCAGTTGGAAGAGCGCGAGACTGTAATTGGAAAAATGTCATCTTGAGGTCGCCTGTTCGAGCCAGGCAGGTCGGATTATTTTTTGTGGCAGACGATCAACAACAGGTTTGTTGTCGTTCTAAATTGTTATAGTATTTTCCGTATGCTTTATTTGATTCACGCCAACAATTCTTGCCAAGCTTCCTGTTCTCTGCAACTACCGCCCCTGCCGCCCCGCGCTCGTGTGGTCTGACTTCACCTCAGGCTTGTGTAACTTCATTCATGACATATAATGAAACTTACAACACTCAGATAGTTGTCCAAAGGTGTTCGTTCCCTTGAAACCCGCTTGAAACACTGAGCATACATATTGGTGTCAGTTACCTGCATTTCTTTCCCTCTGGCACACATTCGTACACGGAGACCAGCATGTATATTGACAACATCCTCAACATCATCTTATACTTCATCGGACGCAGTGTTGAACACGAAATGTGATTACATCCCCGACAGCCCCCCACAATGTGCGGTCATTCCCACAGACCCAGACCATAAAAACTTCAGATGAACAGATTTATGCACACTATCTTAAAACGTTACGACAAACATTGCGTTAATCATTCGCCCAGATGACGTCTAGTTTACAATCGTGGCATAGTTGAGTTTCTTTGTCAATGGAAACGCAATAGCCTTTCGGTCATTGATCTCCGAAGGCAAGAATGGACATTGATGATGCAGCAGAAACGAGGAGAAGAGGACCGGGACCGCGCGTGGGCGGTATATGTCTGTCGACAGTGAGAACATTCCAAAGCGTTTTTCTGCTTTCCGGTGCGTCCGATGCCTGTTTTCTGCGCTTTCCGACGGCATCGACGAGATCAAAATCCGGGAGGCGTGGCGTGAGCCGTTCGTCGTCTTTTTCTTCTTCATGCAAGCTTCTTTGCCAGAGGCACGTAGTGTCGGGTCATGTGTACGACTGCTCAACCTCTTCTAGACTTGCCGAAGAATAAGGATGCTGACCAACCCAGCGGCGGCCCGTTCTGCTGTGAATGGTATCCTGCTGGTTCATTTTTTATGCTCATGTTTCGGTAGGCTCCTCAGAAGAATGGCTCTATGACGTCTTCATGCGAATTGGCCAGTATCAGATCGAAGAGTGGGCGGTTGTCACCGAAAGCCTGACATGTGATGGATTGTGGTCAATCGAGTACCTAACTCAACCAGACTTAACACGAGGAAGGCACGGTGAGTTGGGGCCAGGTCCATTTTGGCAACATCACGTCTTCCCGTAATGATTCACAAAGTTGCCCGAGTAGTTGTTCCTGAAGTAGGTTCAGCGCCACGACAATCATGAAATCGAGTGTAATCCATACTTGTCGGCCATGTACAATAACGCCGTGGTCCTTCACGAGGCTGGCAATTATCCTGCTTTTGCAAGGACACGTTTCTTCGCGCGGGAATGTCATCACTCTTAGTTTGCTATGTGTGTCCATAATTAATTAGAGAAGCAAGCGCACGGAAATGGGAGTTGTACTCGTGAAGCAGGAACCGCAAGGCTGAAAGGCACTGTGAGACAGAAGCTTCGGTGTCACTATGCCCAAGAATGGCAATAGGTACGATTGCCTTCCTCTCCTTGGTGGGCGGCGGCGCTCCACTCGGCAACTAATCCCTTCTTCCCTTTGTCGATCTTCACCCATATCAGGAACCTCTCGCGAGTAAGTATGAATGATGTGCTTGCTAGACTCTGAGTCTGAAAACGTACCAAGACAACGCCTTATTCCTTCTTCGTATATTCGACACCTCGGTTTCAACTTAGTCGGCTTTGACAGTCTAGCATCATCAACTGATCTTTTTTGTTGGCAATAAAGTCATCGTAAACTTGCGCAGGGCGTCCTGAAAAAGGGTACGAGCGGTGGTCCCTAACTTGGATCACCAATGTGCGCGCGCAAATCCTTCGAGTGCTTCACTATTCCTTTTCCCATGTTTAACGATATCTTCTGATGGAACTCACTTGAAGAGTAACGCTCCGGCGGCGGCAGGCACCTTGACGAGTCCCCATCTTTTTGCGAATGTGTCAAAAATTTATGTGGCCATGGTACGGATTTCCCTGGAAGTAGCATCCATTCCAAGTAGGTTAAGATGGCATTTCGGCGGAGTACGGAAGCACATGCTCTCGAAGCCGTCATCCCGAAGATGGGAGAATAAAAATGAAAGCGCCATGTAAACCTTTTGCCCGCATTTAGCGGATTACATGGTGCTTCTTGAGCTGATGGCCAATGTCACTGGTTTTTAGGGTCCTTTCCACTATCAAGGGCATGCCTGGATGTGACAGTAAGCTTCAAGAGGAAATGGGGACGACAGAAAGTATACATCCAATGGATCGTGTAGAATGAGTCTTGTGTATGCGGAAAGTGATAAGCACTGATATAAAACTTCACGGAGCTGCGGAGGCAACGGTTTGGAGGAAAATGACTTACTTTCAAGTTGGCCGCCGCCTTAGTCCATCGAAAACCTTATTATACCCCGGAGTAACATTTGGATACTCTGACCCCTCAGATTTTTAGACACTCCTCTATAGAAAGTTCACATTCGAAAAGGAGCGCCATCGTATTACTTGAAGTCGTTCACCTTTTGGCTTCGGGCAAGGTCTCTCAGACCCGGGCTGGCTGAGCACAATTGCGTAACCGACTTCTTTGAAAGTCTGTGCCCGCGGAATATTTTAGGCGAGAATGAGATTGCAGATATGATTTGTTCGAAAATTTAACGGGAGGTCCAATGAGTCATGAGACGCAGTAGTGAGCGCTTGAGCACTTTCCAAGCTTTAGATCCTAACACAAACAAACAACACGCTCCGAGAGTTTGCAAGCATAACGCTTACCATCGAGAGTACTATCCGCAGATCCCCCAAGGAAACTTTCTTTGCTGAATAGTGAGCTGGTATACCCTATGTAAGTCATATTTCATAATTGGGGTTGAATTGTACGATGTCTAATTGGCGTAACGGGTAGGTCTACTGCTCCATTCAACAGCCTGAGCTCCATTAATATTGCTGATTCTATCATTGATACAGTGTGGCCTCGCAATGCGTGTCATCTTACCTTCCGGTCTTCCCGGGGATCTTCAGAAGAGTGTCTGAGAATTTGATACGACGGACTTCCACCCACGTCTCCGTGCGCGAAACGTCAACCGTTATCAGCTAATACTGACAACAAGTATTCGTCGATCTAGTTGGCCAACTCGTAAGGATCCTCCTTTACAGGTAATGCGCCTCCCACACCTCCTACATGCATAGCTCATGGTGCCCATTTCTAACATAGTATCAGCAGCTGGTATAATACGACCGTCAAGGCATTGCTTGGAGGTTACAAGTACTTTCGGGAGCGAAGTGTGTTGCGTTTGTGAGCAGTGAGCTGCCATCGTCAACTTCTTCTTACCGTACCTGTGAAGCTCGGAACGCCTCATAGGATCTTTGTTTCATCCTGCTATTGGTTGATTTTCATGACCGGCGTACTGGACACCTGAAGGGAATGCGGCGTCATCACTTCTTCATTTGCATGGCAATGTTTGTGTCAGGCACACTTCAAAGCTTCGATGCCTACTCCGAACTGTCTTCTGTGCCTTTGCTGCACGTGGCCATGGTAAGCGCAGCTCGAAGGATCGAAGGAGGCGTAGTCACTGCTCTATGTTCTCCAACGAAAATGCTATATAGTCTGTCTCGTCAATCTGCCGTAAGCCTCACAAACACTCATGGACGCTTATTATTCTCGCACACAGCCTACGAGGTCGTTGGTGAGTTGCTATAACAACTTGAATTATCTCCGTACTAAGCTTCAACTCGAATGTCAGGCTGCAACCATGCCTGCGTGCCGCGAGCACTGCATTCGGTGCCATAAAGACTTCTCAGCCAATTACCCCTCGGCCTGCATCGTACCCCACGTGTTTGACTCCCGCTGTGACCCACTTCGTCTTTACAGTGGAGAATTTCAATGGATGTCGGAGTGTTGCGGGGGTTATGGTACTGTGACGGAGGAAGAACCTGGAAGTGGCGTCTTCCGCATGATGGAACTCACCGCCTGTTATCGTGGTCCGCACACGACGCGCAAGGACGTTGTTCGACTCCAATACAATGGTGTGAGCATCCTTAGATGCAAACATAACAGGTCCGGGAGATGCATCCGAAACCACTTGACGCAAAGAAGTAGACCTGTTTTTGACAAGGAGGTGGTGTATTGCGATGGCGACGAACAAGACCGACACCATGATGGATAGAGGCAGATTGTGTACCATTTCGCGGCTGAACGAACTAGAGGATGATTAGGACTTCGTTGGGAACCAGCTTTTTGCCTCTGTACACAGCCTCGGAACTTGCATTGCAGCCGCTCATACTAGAGTCCATATGTCATTATACGACATCAACTTGTTCCTCGTCCGCTGGCGTGGTCAATTCTACCAATAGTACGATAACAACGCGCAAGTGAATCAAGGAACAAAACTTTCACGATCGTATCTTCCCGCATAAGCAGATACAAAGTAGTACAGCGCTTTGGCCAATTTAAATGCCCAAGGCAGGCGTTAACATAGGCCCTTCCATTATGATCATAGGCCCTTCCATTATGATCTCCGAATTTGTGCGTGTCACTCATAGTTCTTACGTATACTCCTTACATTTGCCTTAGATAGAAAAAAAACAGATTTCTAACAGGTCACGTGATATCCAAGCTGAGAAACGCGACGGTTTACTCACTTATCATGTTACCAAGCGGTGGCCCAGGCCAGCGTGACGTTGTACTTCCAACTTCTGAGCTGTCCCGGGGGCACTAGACTACACCTTTTGAAGTTCTCGCAGCTACCAACCTCTCTGTACATCTGGTAAGTCTCATGCCCTGCTCTTTTTTGGCTAATGTTCTAACTTGCTTTTAACGACTACCAGATTTATTCTACAGCATGTAATATCGGTGCTCTATTAAGTTTTTACCTCATATTTCACTCCTTTGTTTCTCCGCTACTCATAATTTTCTCGCGCGCTGTGCAACGTCAAATGGTTTAAACAAAGTCATGCTACCCTCCCTGTGCTTAGGGGTGGTATGTAGTCCACTTTTTCCTACTTCCTACCCACTTTCCCCCCCTCCTACCCTCATTCTCCCACCTCCCTTAGCTTCTAAGAGACTTTACTTCTCATGTCTTACTATATGTGCATGTTATCATGAATAAAACAGAACATTTTAGATCAAGGAAAAATTGTCCTGCCAGGGGCCCGAGGCGCAGGAGCTAATGATGGCACTCGTGCAGACCCTGTTGTACACTTAGCATGTGCTCATATAAATCTATTCAATCTTATTCATGTTAATATAAGGTTTCGGCAATGTGCGTGTAGAGGTGAAATATCACGTGACGTATCGGGGACCCGAGAGATTGGCCTAGAGAGTAAAGCTACAAAGGGATTTCGAGTCTAGGCGAGTTCAAACACTCGGAGTACTACAACCCACGATCAGCCAAAATGCGTCTCAATGTCTGTGGGACATGTGTAGAATTAAATTGCCTGACGTAACATCGGGCATCCCTTGTGCTCTGAGTCAGATTCAGACCCGTCCAATATTAGTATGCCTCCATGATAACACCATCCAGCGGTGCATGTCACGGTGATGTTCCCAGTCTGGTATCTGGCCAAGGGTATGCTTGATCAAAACATGTTAATTCTCGTAAACTGATCGATTTGAATATGGAGAGGTATTAACATGCATAATGGTAATGTCCTTCACAGAGAAAAAAGCTAGACTCAGTGCCTCATAAACGGACTGGTCACGAGTCTAGAACAAAGCATAGCTGTGATATAACATACGCCCAAACATCGTGTCGAGAGATCGGTCTAACCAAAACGCTACGTAGCTATAACCCCAGTCACCGTATCCGCATGCCCGCAAGCCCCTGGAACGTAGTGTCCAAAAATACAACAATCTACCAGTAGTACGACTGCACTAGATTACTGACTAAATAACAGAACGAGAAGTACTTAATTAGCTCAAAATTCGATGTGCTGAGGCTCATGCTCTTCGGGTTCAATGATCTCTCCCTCTGCATTGAGTGGCCAAAAAGAATTTCTGAAGAAGTTGTCAGGGTCATACTTCTTTTTCACCTCGCACAGCCTAGCCCAGTTCTCGCCATAGCAAGCAATGACACGACCAGGGGGCTCTTGCCTGCCTAAGAACTGTCGGCGATATGAATGAAACAAATTGGATGTGGGTACAGAGGAAACGCATACGCTTGGCAATGGGCCACCGAGCGTCACCGGTGCCAAAGTCTCTGCAATCCACTCAAGAACATGAAACATGAGTATAAGAACAAGTAACTAATGGTAAAATGTTTACCTCCTCCGCGGAATGAACACAGCGCGGATCTTGGAATCCAATATCCCACTGATGTAACGCGGCAACAGTAAAGGAAGCCTGGCGTTGTGCCTTCGGTATACAATTATCCTCGAAATCGACAAGTGCGCCACCAGCCAATTCGAACAACCACGCTGTACCCATGATGCAATAAGAGATCGGAAACGAGAACGGGACAAAAAAGACATACTGCAGCCAACAGGCGTGTCCGCAAATTGAAGGACCGTCTTATTCACGATATTATCCGGAAGCGAACTAATAAGCGCAGATCGTATGAACCACTTGTTTCCTGCTGTTAGTAGCAAACATATCAGAACACACGTGTTGATTCAGTAAACTCTACTGCTCACCTTTTCCACGGAGAACCTGCGCAACGCTGTCTTGTTGATGAAGAAAGGACTTCTCATCGACCTCATTGAGAAGACACCGTTCCCCGTCCCACGATGAAATAGCCTGTAAGAACTCCTGGCCCTTCACCTTGGGTCCGACGTAGCACATCTGGATAACGACTAGGGAATCTTGCCCTGCAGGGCCAGCAGTAAGCAGAACATTAGCATACAACTCCCGGGGAGCACCCTTGACGCAGTCGCGAAAGTGCTTGATTAGTGATGGTGCAGTTGCACGATGAAAACGACTGTGAAAAGTAGTGTGACATTCCGATCCGATTCAAACAATAAACAGTACTCACTAAATAAGATTACCCGCGAAGACGACGGGAACCGGATAAGCTCTGGCTTTGTAGCGTGTGACAACACCAAAGGCTGGGCCAGCACCACGTAGTGCCCACCATAAATCTGGACGCCAGTCAAGATTAGGTGAATACTATTATATGTACGACACATACCTGGGTGTTCATTGCGGTTAACCAAGATGATTTGACCATCTGCTAAAACAACTTCCGCTTCCACCAAATTGTCACTGCTCAAGCCGTGAAGACGGCCCAAGAATCCAAAGCCTCCCAAGATCATGATTGCTGAACCAACGGGATGAGCCGCACTGATCCACAAGGTCAATGAGAATAAAAATCCGAAAAGATAACAGCTTACGATGGAACGTGATATGGAACAGCGCCACGTCCGCCTGCAAGTGACATCGCTTCTAAAGGGTTTGCAGCTGAGAATTGATCGATTTCCTTCTGTCTCTTTCCTGCACCAAAGGTCATGAAGGCATGAGAGTAGATAGGCATTGCATAAGTCAGAATGTTAGTCGAAGACTCGAGGAAACTCGGCGTAGCAAACAATGCGTTGGGCATGGACTGGGCGAGCCGAGAAGTGGAGGCGGCAGGTGGTGCAGGATTGTTGGATGTATCATCTAGATAGGAAAAGGGATCATCCAATGAGGATAAACATGGGGGCGACTTTGAACTGGTATCTGGCAGCGGAGAAGGTAGGGCAAGATCGGTAGTGGCACCGTCCATGGATGGAATATTAGAAGCCAAGAGGTTGGAAAGCACGGGAATAGAAGAACCAAGTGAGTTAGAGGATAACAATGTCGTGCTAGGGTTCTGACTACTGCTCGACGTCGCAGAATAGGTGGACATCTGTGGGACCTCCAACGTGGGAGCTGCGAATTCCAACCTCCGTCGAGTGGCGGGAGGACGATCGGCAAATGGAGCAGATGATCCCCCTGGGTGAAGGAAATCTGAGACAGTTGCAGATGCCAGGTCGTAAGACATCTCGTGGTCGTCCTCCCTTCTCCGCTTACTGCTGGTCGCAGCATCAGATCTATCTAGAAGCGGCGGGCCAGCTTTGACCTTGCCTTTGCTGCCAAGTGCAGGCATGTCTCGAATGCTGGTAAAGGAGCCATCAGCAGCAGGAGGTTCGATGTCGATGTCGGCGATCTTGTAGAGGTCGATGATGATGTCGCCTCCGACTGCCCAACCAGCCGTTCCATAGCCTCCTGCCTTGACAGAAGCAGAAATCGAATGCTTTCTGCAGAACAAAATAACTCTACGGAGAGAATTGAATATCTGACAGGTCTGATAATTGGAAACTTACTGGCTAACGTCTAGAGCATCAAGGGGACATACAACAGCCATAGCGTTAACTTTGACGTCGCCATTAAACATTCGAGAATAGTCTAGAAAACTAGAATGGCTGTCAGAGGTAGCGGGGAATAGAATGGGGATACATAGTACCTAGGATCACCTCTCCGGTATGTGTCTCCGCTAATGGTCGATCTTAGTTCCTGGTAAAGGACATCGGACAGAGAGGGAAAGATGGAGGTCACATCAAGAGAGATTCCCTCCATGAGTTGCTCAAGGTAAGATTGAAAGCGAGTCCAGAAGAGGGGAATAGGGAGGTTCTGATCAGTGAGGGTACGAATCCGACTGGTTTTTAAGGAGGATCGTGAATCGTGATTGTAATTAAAATTCAGGTGAATTTACAAAATAAATAGGATTGCTTGCAGGATGCAGCTGCATACTGTGCATAGTCACGGTACATGGTGCTAAATGGGAGCATCGGGTATTTTGGAGGCGATGAGCTAAATTTTTGTGTTAGTGGAACTGTTTGCGCGGAATTGGCGCGGAAGTTGTTTTTGCTCCAACGTTTAATTGACAATGGATCGATCGGCAAGTCCATTCTTGGAGCAAACGTTAACCCTACGGCCGCCCCGAATGTTCTAGATCTCACTCACAGACTTCGCCGACTCGGAACGTGATCAAATATGTCTCAAACGTTCGCGTCAAGTCTCCTTGAGTTTCTGCGGAACTCGGCTGACTCAGCGACAACAATCCGAAGTTGTAGGCCGCCGATCGTCGCCCTAGCTCGTATTTCAAACCCCAATTGGTCGCGGCCCGCATGGCCATTGGGTACGTCACGCATCACGCTATCTTCTGGCGGGTTCTCGTCACAGCCGTGGAATGCCGCTCCAACAGCGCCATATGCACTGGCCCCAATCCGTCAAGGCTGGAGCCTCACGGTGAGCCTATGCTCTGATGGCCCGACTGCTGTACGT